GATGATTTCCCAGTACATACCTCGAGAGTAAGGAATAGTTGGGCTTCCTGCTAAGGGTGAAAGATGTCCTCTTTGATATTTGAAAACTAGAGAAGAGCTAACTGCTCTCCATACATTAAAGTCTTCTGCCATGGATGAAGCACTAAATTCTAGCAGGCTCATACAATTTGCAAATGAGATGGATAAACCACTGCAAGTGATCTTTGAGGAATCTTGACAAAGAAGTGAAAAGTGGGAAGACAGAGGATGAGCAAAGGGCATGGAACTTTGTGAAAGGGAGGTAGATTTTGCAAAGTGTGCATGATGATAACTTGAAGTCAAGGCCAGGCACGGTCTTTAAGAGATGGCTCTGTGTCCACCTGGGAGAAGAAGCCGTAGTTCCCAGCAGTCAGTATGGGAGCTATGAGCAGATTGGATGAAACTGCTCTTCTTTCTTCTGGCACAGAGTCACTAAATGGTCAGGGAACTGTGGCAAGCACAATGGATTTTGACTTCAGCCAATACTTAACAATGCCCGGTGGACAGTGTGGGGAAATGAGGGCTGGGTGTGAGCTTAGAAATGACAGGATGACTACGCAAATGTTGCTTATTAATGAGTTGATGTCAAATCCAGGCAGGTACAGAACATGGGTCAGTGTCCACAGTCATCTTCAGCTTACCATCATCATGAATCCATGACTCAAAATCTATAGAGGAAAAAATAATCTGTAGAGGATGAAACTGTACAGGACAAAATATAGAGATGATGTAGATGATCAACATTGGGAGGAATACTGGGTAGACTGCATGAAACGAACAGTGGAGGAAAGCACCAGATTCTTTCCACCATCTCCAATACTGTAGTTTCTCTTAAAAACAAAAACAAAAAAACCCTAGGGAATTTAGTACACAAAAATGGCTTCAGTGTTTTAATTTGCATTTTTACTTGTAAGAGAGAACGTTGATCAAAGGTTTATCAATCATCTGTAATCATGTTTTATACATGATTTACCTTTTGATAGAATTTGTTTATCTTGCTATTGAGGTACTTGCCTTTTTCCTTATTAATTTGTAACACTCTATACATTAACTCCTTGCTTATTAATTATTCTCATTATTTTACCCAGTTTTCCATTTTCCCTTTAAGCTTACTTAAAGTCGTTTTTGGTATACAGAAGTGTATGCTTTTTAATGTGGTCAAATCTCTCATTCTCTTATTTTAAGGTTCCTGCATTAATAAATATGCTTAGAAAATTCTTACCTGCTTTAATGTTAGATAAGTATTCACTTACATTTTGTTCCAATTCTTTAAAATTTCAGTTTAAGTCTTTAATCCATCTAGATTTTGTGTTGGTATAGAGCATAAACTCTAGTGATCAAAATTACTTTATTCTAAATGGTTAGCTTATTTTCTCAATGCTAGTTATGAATAATGTATCATTTCCCCAATGATTTGAAATAGTAACAAAAAAACAACAATAATAATTAATAATAGCTAAGATTTGCCAATTACTGTGTACCAGGCACAGTTCTAACATGTCATAGCATTTATTTATCACAATAACCTCATAAGGTGGGTATTATGGTTATGATTCCCATGTTATTAAATCATCCCTCTGTGGGGAAAGTGAGGTGCAGAATGGCTGAATAACTTGCCCAAAGTCACACAAGTGGGGAGTGGTGGTGTACAGATATAGACTTGGCCAACCTGACTCCAGGATTCAAGCTTTGAAATTCTTTTATATACTTGGGGTTGTTTCTGGGCTTTCTATTTTGTTCCAGTGTATTCATTCCTATGCTGATACTGTGCTGTTTTAATATCTAGTAATTCAAGTCACTCCTTTAATTTTTTTTCTTTATTAATTTCTAATTTAACCAGAACTTCTCCTCCCGTTTTATAATATGGCTTCTTAAAAATGTCAAGGCTTTTTTCTTCTGAATACCAAAAGTAGCCAAACAATACATGCCATGTTTTTCTAGAAAGTCTCTCTGTTTTTTTTTTAAAGAATCAATTTTATTTATTTTTGGTTGCGTTGGGTCTTCGTTGCTACACACGGGCTTTCTGTAGTTGTGGCGAGTGGGGGCTACTCTTTGTTGCAGCACGCAGGCTTCTCACTGCGGTGGCTTCTCTTGTTGCGGAGCACGGGCTCTAGGCACGCGGGCTTCAGTAGTTGTTGCACACAAGCTCAGTAGTTGTGGCTCACGGGCTCTAGAGGGCAGGCTCAGTAGTTGTGGCGCACGGGCTTAGTTGCTTCGTGGCATGTGGGATCTTCCCGGACCAGGGATCGAACCCGTGTCCCTTGCATTGGCAGGCGGATTCTTAACCACTGAGCCACCAGGGAAGTCCCTCTAGAAAGTCTCTTGACAACATTTTCTGAGGTAATGATTTGCCAGGCTCTTTAGCAAGAGATACGTTCCATGGCTGCTTTTGCTGGTGCCAGCTCTCCTGTAGAGTCTCCAGTAGAATCAAATTGCTCTCAACCTGGTTGTAGAGATCTGAGCAGTGCCAGTCAGTAGAACTCTCTGCAGTGATGGAAAGATTTTAAAGCTGTGTTGTCCAGTATGGTAGCCACTCACCACTTGTGGCTACTGGGCACTTGAAATATGCACTTAAAATAGTATGACTGAGAAACTGAATTTTAAATCTAATTTAATTTAAATTAATTTAGATTTAGATAGCCACATTGTGGCTAGCGGCTACTGTATTAGACAGCACAGAATTGATGATGAAAAAGTTAAGTAGCTTGAACTGTTCTCAAATGTGCTACATTTACTGCCAGGGAAATAAGTCATCTATATTTTGAGGGTCTCAAGTCCAGGGGCTATTTTTCCTCTTAAGCCCCTCTGCCCTTACGGTAACAGATGTTTGCTTTTGCTGTTTTCAGCTCTTCAATGGCAGTGTTGGATTACCCAGGGGGAGCACTAAGCATATGCCTGGTGCATTGGTAAAAGGAGGGTACAGACAAATGAAATACATTTGGCCCTCCATATCCGCGGGTTCCACATTCATGGATTCAACCAACCGTGGATTGAAAATATTCAGAAAAAATAATTCCAAAAAGTTCCAAAAAGCAAAATTTGAATTTGCTGCACACTGGCAACTATTTACCTAGCATTTATTGAATATGTTGTATTTACAGCTATATACATAGCATTTATGTTGTATTAGGTATTATAAATAATCTAGAGATGATTTAAAGTATACAGTAGGTTATAAGCAAATACTACACCTTTTTATATCAGGGACTCGAGCATCTGAGGATTTTGGTATCCAAGGGGGGCCCTGGAACCAGTCCCCCATGGATACTGAGGGATGACTGTAATTTGATATTCCAACGATGACAACTGCAACAAATCATCTGGAAAATTTTGGAATTGATTGCACTCCCTTAAACTTATTGCATGACTTGGTGGTATTTTTATTTTTAATTCTATACATGCAAAGTCAGCCCCCCAAGATCTTCTCAATGTCTGGTGGCACCATTGTACAGATTTTTGTTCTTCCAAAGAGGAATTTGAGCAACCACAGCCCGAGGCCCTGTAATCGTCAGCCTGTGGAGGAAAGATCTGGGCCAGCACCCCTGACTGCTGGGGGAGAACATGACCCACGCTGCTGCAGAGAAAGCTGGGCTCAGATCTGCACTGGGAAAGCATGGTGCTGTGGTCAAAAGCAGACTCTGAAGCCAGGCAGCTTGGGTTTGCATCCTGGCTCTGTCATTTACTAGCTGGGTGACCTTGGGCAAGTTTCTTAACCACTCCATGTCTGGATTCATCATCTATAAAATGCGAATAATAATAGTACCCAGTGTAATAATACCTGGTGCTATTATTGTGGCACCCAGTGGGTGGTTAGGAGAGGTTTTAGAACAGTATCTGGCACATAGTAAGTGCTAAGTAAGTGTTTGCAAGTTAAAATGAGATCTTTAGTTTAGAACATGATGCCCTGACTTAGTCACTTGGCCCAAATGTACAGCTCAAATGTGCGCGTTTTTCAGTTAACAGCCAGGGATCTCCCTGGAGTTGACATGCGATGCACCTCTGAATAGAACATATGAATGCCTTTCAAAGAGCTTTTACATCAGTTTTCTTATTTTATCTTCACGGCAACCTGCTGAACTGAGCAGGGAGGTACTACCCTTGCTTCCTGTAGGGGAAATGACAGATGACGCTACCCAACAGAGAGGATTTGTTTGTTATGTTTGTTTTTCTTTTAAAGATTTATTTATTTTATTAATATTTTTATTTTATTTTTTTGGCTGCATCGGGTCTTAGTTGCAGCACGCGGGATCTTTGTTGAGGCGTGAGGGATCTTTCATCGTGGCATGCGGGCTCTTCATTGTGGTGCTCGGGCTTCTCTCTATTTGTGGCAGCGGGTTTTCTCTTCTCTAGTTGTGGCGCGCAGGCTCCAGAGCACATGGGCTCTGTAGTTTGCGGCATGCAGGCTCTAGTGGAGGCGAGCAACCTTAGTAGTTGTGGCGCGCGGACTTAGTTGCCCCGCAGCATGTGGGGTCTTAGTTCCCCAACCAGGGATCAAACCCGCGTCCCCCAGTGGCAGATTCTTTACCACTGGAGCACCAGGGAAGTCCCTGTTTGCTATATTTGATCACTGGAGCTACCATTTTTGGAGCGAAAGTCCAAATGACGTCAGAATGACATCTTCCTCGACGCAAAGGAAAACTGCCGGTAAAAATCGATCAAGTGTAATTGACTTGAGAGAAGACCAGCACACACAACACAGGATGCTGTACGTGTGTGCCCAACAAATCAACTTTTATCCCTTGTAACTTGAATGTGGCCCAGTTTTACGCTTCCTTTTCAAAAATGTCGTGGAATGGTTTTTCCTGATGCCCTGGTCTCAGGGCCAACTGAGGGGGCACAGAGGAACTCTGGGCATTCTTGGGATGGTTTGTTAAATGGGGCCAACCTCTGGTTAAAAGAGAGCGAGGTCAGGTGGGTGTGCACCTCTGTGGAGGGCCATGATTCTGTGCTCTGTGGGTTCAGCGTGTGGTTTTGTCCCGCAGATTCATCGCTCACGCTGCTGCAGATGGTAGGCGTCGGGCTAGGCTCCCTGGCTGTTGTGATTGTCCTCGCATTCCTCTCCTTCTCAGCAGTGTGGTATGTGCGACTGTCACTTTTGAGGAATGAGTGGAATGGAGGGAGGGTGGGGCTGGAGTCAGGAAGAACAGCTGGGATCGAGGAGGGTCAGAGGGGGAGTGCGGGAGGTTGTCCCAGGCTCAGCAGGTGAAAGGCACGGGTAACTCTGCACCTCAGGAGGGAGGGGCATGCCCTCCAGTCCCAGGAAGAGAGCAGGGTCAGTGATGGTGCCCTGACCACTCACAGAGTGGTGGCTCATCTCCTGTACCGCTCCCCATGCACACAGGGGTGCACCGCAGGAGAACCTAAGTGTCAGTGAACTCTCTTTTCCTCCGCCATGTCTAGATTGCCAATGCTGCGTGAAGAGGATGCGCTGCTGCTGGGGCAGATGTTCTGACAGCTTCTCAGGTGTCTGCACAGAGGCCTTGTGTGTGCGTGGGCCTGCAATCCCATTCCTGGATTCAAGACGGTGACTATCTCTTTGGAATCCCCCAAAAGGAGGACACTCGGGAATTGTTGATGTCTTCCCTGCTACACGACCAGTTCTGTGTCTCTGAACTTGAGAACCTTGACGTACAATGTAATATTGACCACAGGCTACAGGCCTGTGTTCTCCCCTGAGTGATGCCTGAGAGTCAGCTCCTCTAGGCACTGAATGCAAGAGACTGTCTACCTCTTCCTTTATAGCATCTCTGTCATTAATTCAGAATCCATTCTTTTACAATAAGTAATGAGATAGACTGAAGTGTGGGCTAGAATTTGACTTTATGAAGGAGGTCATTGCAAAGGCTAGAGATCATTGACATAGACAAATACGGTAAACACTTTAGAAGCACTTTTCCGACAATTGGTTGACACACTAATGAGAAAGTATGCTAGCCTGGCCACTCCAGTAAGTTCCCTGCAAAATCTGTTAGGCAGTGTTGCTTTGATACAGTTCCTTTTGTCTTATATGTATTCAAAAGCCATAAGCCTTCATTCCAGTAAAAATATTCTGTTAAGTTAGACAGTTCTCTTCCACATGAATGTTTAGAACAGCCTTGGCAAAATTTTTTTCACTGAACATTTCCTAAAAATGCTCCGTGCCTCCTTTTAGACTTGGGGGTGGGGTGGTAACAATGGGTTGCAACATTATGAAGCCCACGGCCCGAGTCCTGTGTTTATAGGGGAGGGGAACAATGCGGGTGACACGATCGTCCCTTTTATCTACAACGTCAGTAGCTATGAGTGTTACTTTATCATGAACCATGTCCCGGAACTACTGTCAATATGCTGAATTTACAGATGGAGTGGATTCGATTTGACTTTTAAAGCCCGAATCAGTGTTCTTGAACTTTCCTCCCTAACCAACAATGTAACTCCAAGGCTCAGCAAGGAACGAAGGGAGAAGAAGGATGGAGGCTTGTGGCTTCTCTAAGTGATGGTGGTATCCTCCTATGCCTTCTCCCTCCTTCTCCAGGCCTAGAGACTAGAAAGCATGGGGAGGGGTGGGGGGGACAGTGATATTGCCCAACTCGGGGTGAAGCATATATGAACGTGGTCCTAGTATTGGGCGACACCACAGTCCTGAGGAAAAGGGGCAGTCTTTCCCACATGGTGGGCTGGTGTGTTCTCCACCGGCTCACTGGGCACCAGTGAGGGACACATCTGAGCAGCCTGGGCTTGTAGGCAGATGAGGAGACATGAGCAATGATAGGAAAAGGTGGCAACTCTCTATGAAGCTGCTTCCCCAGGGGGATCTGACCCAAAGCATATCCTCTCAACTGGGAAGAGTCAGAGAGAGGGAAGTGATACCCTGATGCTTGAGTTTTCAAGGCCAGCTGTCAGCCCTGGCCCCAGCCAGTACTGGGCAGTATTAGGAATAATTGTCCTTTGTCCTCTGAGGTGTCGTCTCAGACTACAACTTAGGATCAACATGTAGAACACTTCCTGCTCTCATTCAGGTGAACTGTAGAGTAGAACTCTCAATAGACTAATACAAATAGCTTCCGACTTTTGTTTTTTATGTGCAACAATTCAAACTCATACAGTTTTCACAGCTCTTGAATTAAATTTGGAATCTTTACAAATTATTTGGTTAGTATTAGGTAGGGTCTCTGATGAGTAAGGATTTTCCTCCAAGCCTCCTCTAACCAAAGAGAGAATCTGAGTTTCTCCCCCTTATTATTATTTTTTACCAGCTCTGTAAAAACCATATGTTTCTGTAGTCCCCTAATTTCAAGTTCTAGAATTAACTGCTAAAGAAGCTACCTTTGTTCACATGGGAACTTAGCATAATTGTCATCGAAAGGAAGAAGTCCTATTTGCTTGGTGTCAAAAGTTTCTCGTTAAGAAAACTGACTAAATATGAAGTAAAATGTACTTCTGGGTACAGTGCAGAAATGTAAAAGCAGTTCATGAAAGAATACTGAAATAACAAAAACATAGGTTTTGTCCCTTCCTCTAAATGTTCCAAAGGATAGCACAGAGTTGCTCAGTGTTAATACTTAACAGAAGTAGGTGCTGAGCATTTGCAAGAAGGATGCGCCATTTTCCTGCAGTTCTTTTCTGATCATTTTCTCATGCAAATGAAGGCAGCCTTAAGTTCTCTGAATTCGCCTGGTAGCTTAACCACAATACCGTCCCTTTTTTTCCCAAGTGGATTCCTGGTTAAGGCGGGGAGAGCATCTCAGGAGACCAATAGTGGGTCTTCCTAGAAGCATGCAGGGTCCTTCTGTTGAAGGACTGATCAGGTAGCATTCAGAGTTGGGTTATGAGTGCCACTAAATAAAGCTGGATCCTCAGATGGTGATGGAAGAAGGATCTTTTCCTTATTAACTGTCTTGGGGACAGTGTGTAGAGGTGAGTGCCAAGATCCAGTCTTGAGCTCCCTTCTAGACTAGGAATCAAAACAGAGGGTTGCCCAGATATGGAGCAGATTGTTCCCTGGCTGAATTTTTTTTTTTTTTTTGGTGCCCATAGTTTTTATTTATCTCCACCATAGTTTTTGTTCATACATGTTCTTTCATTCCATCCTCATAGCAGTTCTGTGTGGTGGGAAGGTTAGGAGTTATCATTTTCCCATTTTAGAGTGGAGAGATGGGTTCAGGCAGAGACGTAACTTCAATTGTGGGGCCAGATATTCTGCCTGCAAGTACAGTTCTCATTCCTGGGACCTGACAGGACATTTGGGTTCCTGGGAGAGCTAGGCCTTTGTATTTCTGAACTATATATATATATATATATGCATTGCTTTTACTATTATAGCACCTGTGTCTTTTTATACTTATCTTTTCGCTGTGATATACCTTCTCCCATCACTTCTAGAAGGAGCCAGCCACAAGCAACCAAAATAGATGGAGGTTAACTAGGGGAAATAGGTAATAGTCCATCCATGACCCCAGACCTAAAATTGCAGCTGGGCCCTTAAGATTAAGACCACAGCAAAAGTCATTACCTTGAAATTCCATAGTGGATTGGAATAAAGTTAATATTTAAATTGATTTTAAAGGAGGTAAAGAATTCTCAAGGCTCCCTTTTTTGGCTAATCTCATATTCCGATTTCCTAACCCTTTAATTTTTCCATTCCCTTCATCAGAGAGAAAACCAGTGGGTAGTAGACGTCAATCAAATGGTGTTTTAAGGACCGTTTGCCTCCCACAGCCATCGTTGGTTAAACTCAAGTGCCTGATTTTGGAGAGGAAAGGGCGTGTGGATTTTTCTGTGTCCGTTTGTGGGCAGGTGATGCAGTGAGGCAGGTCAGTTTAAAAAAGTGTACGTCCATTGTTTCAGAAAGAGAGAGAATGAATGAATCATTCTGGACGTGTGTGTGTATCCATATCCATACTTTTTTGGGATAACTCAAGGTTACCAAAATGGGGTCAAACTAGGCATGTGGTTTGTAACATGCATTGGACACATTTTTCATGTCAATCATGATGGCATTAAAAGTTGGTACCATAATTTATTTAACTAATACACTGTTGAGTATTGTGCATTTAGAGTATTTCCAGATGTTTACTATTCTTATATATGTCTGTATAACTGCATGCAGTTATCACTTACGCTAAATTCCTAGACTTGAAGTTGTTGGAATGAAAACGATATACATTGTAGATTTACTGCATATTGTCAGAGGAATCTCAGAAAGTTTATACCAGTTTATGCTCTCACCAGCAGGAAGACTCAACATACCTGGGCATCGTTGATATTCTTAATCTTGATTAATCTGGTAGGTGAAAAATGACCTTTCAATGTTTAGTTTGCATTTCTCTGACTAATTTGCATGTTGACTGGTCATTTGTAATTCTGTTGTGGTGATATGCCTTTTTTCTCAGTAGTTGGCTTGTCTTATATTGATTTGAAAAAGTTCTTTGTATTATAGTAATTTTCGCTTTTAGCTGTCACACGTGTTGTAAACAAATTTTCTACTTTATTATTTCCCTTTTGACCTGTTTGTGTCATGCACTGCCGCACAAAAACTTTAAATTTGTGTAGTCAAATGTATCAGTCTTTTTCCATATGTATTTTGCCTTTGGTACCATGCTTAGAAGGACTTTCCAATCTCAAGGTAATAACTATAATTCAGCAGTTAAAAAACCATTTAAATCTTTAATCCATCTGAAACATTTTAGTATAAGGAATGAGGTCGGGAGGGGTCTTTTTTTATTTTTGCTAAATGGTTTAGCCAGTTGTTCTATGAATATTCCTTGACTGTTATTTTTTTCCCCTCGTGATTTGACTCGTATACTGAATCATATACTAGAGTCTATTTCTGAACTTTCTCTTTTGTTCTGCTGATTTATTTCTGTGCCAGTGCCACCTGCTATAAGTTTAAAATAGGGTTTTTTTTTTAGTACCAACTAAAAGTAAGTTACCACCCTTTTTCTGTTAATTCTCAGAGTATTCTCAGGTTTTATTATATATTTATTCATGTATACATATTTATTATATGTAAACTAAAGAATTATTTGGTCAAGTTCCCCCCAAAATCTTCATATTTTTCTTGGGGATGTATTAAATAAAGAGTGCTCTTATCCCAGAACACAGTATGTGTCTCCATTTAATGTTTGTGTGTGTTCCTGTCTAGCGTGTTCTGATTTTCAACTTACAAGGTTATTCATTCTTATTTTTGGTTGTGTGTGTGTCTAGATATTTTACATCTCGTTATCCTGAACTCTTATGTCACTACCTCTGATCCTGCCCCTGAAAGTGCATCCCACAGCCCCTTACTGCTGGCATTGTTAGAGTTCTCTGGCCCTGGCAATCTGCCTTTTTTGGGAAAAGTCACATCAAGATGGCTCCTCTAGCTCAGTTACTTTCCTGGGTATCTACTTGACTCACGGAAACTCACAGACCCTTGCCATGCAAATGAGGGATTGCCCCACCATCACAGATCACTCCAGCCACAGACTTTAGTTGTCTTACCCATTAGACCCTTTGGCCTCCATCAGTGGAAGTGTAGCTTCTACTACATTCCAATGTGGTTCCCACTTTTTTGTCCTGATGCTGGCCTGACAGCCTCAGCCTCTTGACCCCTGGGTTTCTTATCCTTGGAGTCAGGTACCAGGCCTCTGTGTCCTCTGAAGTTTTAGGGGACACAGAGTCTCTGAGTGGACGTCCCCTTGAAGCTCCTCTTTCCTGATGTGCACTGAGGAAGGTCCCCTTACCTCCTACCGTCATGGTGGGGGATAGAAAATTCAGAGAATGCCAACAGCTTTCCCTAAAGAACGACTTTCTTTTGGCCTTTTCAATTTTAAACCCCTTTATATCTTGGGTATTGGGCTAAGGATCACAAGACCATTCGGAAATCCTTATTTTAGAATATGGGAGTGTTTGCAACCTATTATTTTCAATTTTTTGGAGCTTTAGTTGAAACAAAAAGGGTCCAATTTGAGGCCAAATGATAGGAAAATACAGTTCACAGAAAAAGAAATGCAAATGGCTCCCAAACATAAGAAAATATGCTCAACCTTACTTTTAAGAAAAGTGCAAGTTAGTGAGGCATCATTTCTCACCCGTCAATGAGAAAGCCAGAGATTTAACAACACAGTCTCTTTTGAGGCTGTGGGGAAATAGGAACTCAAATGTTGTTAGTGAGAGTACAGAACGGTACAACCTTTATGGAAGGAAATCTGGCAATATTTACATTGCCTTTGTCTTTAACCCAGCAATCCACCTCTGGGACCTATCCTATGGATTCACCTGCACATGTTCCAAATGACACATGAACAGGGTTATTCATTATGACGTGGCTTATGATAACAAAAGCTTAGAAACACCCCAAATGCCTCTCAGGAGGAAAATAGTTACATGAACTATGATACTTCTATGTACACAATGGTACCCTGAGTTGTAAAAAAGGAATGAGGAAGGGCTCTATGCATTGAAATGGGGAGATCTTCAAGCTGTATTGTTTTAATGAGGAAAACAAGATGGAGAATAGTGTATATCATACGCTATCTTTTATGTAAGAAAGAGAGGGAATGAGAATATTTATTCAATTTTAAATAAAGAAACACAGGAATGATAGCAATGAGTTGATGTAACTGGTTACAAATGGAGCAAGGAAGAATGGGGTGGAGGTGGACAGGGTGAGAGTGAGCCTTTTAAGTGTTTATCTTCTCATTTTGTTTTGTTTTTAAACATGTAATTATATTACTATTCAAAAACATAAAAATAAAATTTCATAAGGAAAAGAAAGTGTTCCATTTAATATCCTATTACACATGTGTCAAATAAAAATATTATGGGTACTGCTTAGTTTCCTTCTAAACCCAAGACACTTAGATTTGGATAAGTTTGGTTTAATTTTCCATCACAAAATTGGTGGGGCATCCAGTGCTGTCTTTTAAGATTTCTGAAAATTCCATGAGGGGGTAAAGGGGGATGTATTATAGTCCCATGATCAACTCTAGGGCCTACTTTCTGCTTCCTATGAATTAATTTAGCAGATGGATCATCTCACCCTCCTACATGGGGTCCCTGTTCCCGCCTGCATCGACTCACCTGTGGAACTCAGCTCCTTTTCATGATTTCCACCCAAAGTTTCACTAAGGACTTGGGGCATTTAGATAACGTGAATGGAGAGTGTATTTGTTTCCTACTGATACTGTAACAAGTTACCACACACTTGGTAGCTTTCAACCACACAAATTTATCATTTCACAGTTCTGGAAGTCGGAAGTCTGCCGTGAGTCTCACTGGGCTAAAGTCAAAGTGTTGGCTGAGCTGTGTTCCTTCTGGAAGCTCGAGGGAGAATCCATTTGTTTGCCGTTTCTAGCTTTTAGAGGCTGCCTATATTCCTTGACTGTGGCCTTTCCTCCATCTTCAAAGCCAACAGTGTGGCATCTTTGAATCTCTCTCTGACTCTGACTCTCCTGTCCACCCCTGCCCCCGCTTCATTTATAGGAGATTACAGTGGGCCTCCCTGGAGAATCCAGGATAATCTCCCATCTCAAGATCCTTAACTATCACATCTACAAAGTTCCTTTTACCATGGAAGATAACTTATCCACAGGCTCTGGGATTAATACGTGGACATTTTTGGTGGCTATTTTTCTGCCTATAACGAGAGAGTGTTATATTTTAGATATGCAAATAATTAAAAGTGGATGTTAGTTATCTTTGTTCTTCGAAGTTTCCTTCCTTTCCCACCCCTTCCCATCTTCATTCTTTATCAAATCCCCTAAATTCCTGAAATGCAGAACAACTCATCTATGTCTTTCTTTTTTTTAACCGAAGTAATTTACCAAAGTAATTTTTTAAACAAGAGTAGTTTCCTCCTTAAAAATTCTGTTGCCAGCTGTTAACTTAAACTTTATATTTTTGAAAAACTTCTGAAAATTTCCCAAAGTTTCTGAATGTTGAATGTATTCTTCCTTGTTTCACAGTGCTGATTCAGATTTCTTACAATTTTTTTGTGAATCTTTGGTAATGTGATTTTGGGGGACAACTAGAAACTAGAAGATGAAATATTTGAGAGAGAATTATAGCAAAGGCTATATATGCTTTTTTATTTTTTTATTGCTGTGTAACAACTTACCACAAACGTAATGGCTTAAACTAGTACACATTTATTATCCTCCAGTTTTTATGGGTCAGGAATCCAGGTTTGGTTTAGTTGGTTTCTCTGCTCAGGGTATCACAAGTCTGCAAGAAAGGTGTTGGCTAGGTTGCATCTTCATCAAGAAGCTCGACTGGGGAAGATTCCCCTTCCATGCTTATTCATATTGTTGACAGAATCCATTTCCCTTGTGGTCGTATGGCTGAAGGTCCCAACTTTTTGCTGGCTGTCAGCTGGAAGCTGTCCTCAGGTCCTAGATGCCAGTCATAGCTCCTAGAGGGCCATTTGTAGTTGTTTGCCAGGTGGGCTTCCTACACAGACGGCCCAACTCATCAAGTCAGCAAGGACAATCTCTGAATACAGGGAGGGCCCAGTTCCTCTTTTTTTAAATTTTTTTTGCCGTACGCGGGCCTCTCACCTCTGTGGCCTCTCCCGTTGCAGAGCACAGACTCCGGACGCGCAGGCTTAGTGGCCATGGCTCACGGGCCCAGCCACTCCGCGGCATGTGGGATCTTCCCGGACCGGGGCACGAACCCGTGTCCCCTGCATTGGCAGGCAGACTCTCAACCACTGCACCACCAGGGAAGCCCCCAGTTCCTCTCTTAAAGGGCTTTCATCTGACTAAGTCAGGCCCACCCAGGATAATCTACCTTTAACTAACCAAAAATAAACTAATTTGGAACCTTACTTACATCTGCAAAAGCCCTTCACTTTTTCCATATTCTGTTGGTTAGAACTAAGTCACACTCAAGGGGAAAAAATTATACAGGATGTGGACACCAAGTGGCAGAGGTTATGAGGGTCATCTCATAGAATTTTGCCTACGGTAAGTTACTAAAGAAAAAATCAATTATGGACTTTAAATTCTACCACAATTTTTCCTAGGTTCTTCTGACAGGGCTACTTAACTTTATAGCAAAAGCCTAGGAATACTTCTATTTTCTCTGTGGAGAGGTGCCAAGGCTGCCAGGGGTGGAAGTGACCAATGGCCAGAGGTTTCAGGAAGGTAACCGGGTCTGGAAGACTGCCGTCTCCCCTTGGACTAAATGCGTTCCCTTGAGTGAGGCACAGAGATTTGGGGAAGGGGAGGAACACCATTTCCCTGGGTCCATGGGCATGTGTCCCATCTCCTAGCCTTTGGGTTAGCAGGATTCAGGATTTGTGAACTTGGCCTGCAAAAGTCTATTTCTGCCGAACTCTAGTGAGCCTAGTGTATGGCCTGTAGGGTGAGTTGTCCTATAGTCCCTATAAAGGGCCATCCTGAGTCTTGGTGGGCTGGGCTGGGCAGGGTAAGGCAATATTGACCAGGTTCAAGGCTTCCAGAGGGTGGTGAGAGTTCCAGGGACCAGCGCTGGAGAGCACAAAGGTCCTTCCCAGTCCCAAGACCCTCCATAACCAAGGACTTGGCAGTAGCTGTGTGCAGCCGAGAATGGCTGAGACTGAGGGTAAAGCACGTACGGTTCTTGCCACAAGTTATGATTCCTTCTGTCCAAGGGGCCTTCCAGTGAAGAGTGAACCTTAGAACCTGAAAGAGGGCTCAGCTCCAAGAACCAGAGGGAACTTGGGTTGTCTTGGGATGATCACTGTGAATTGAGATCTCACAGGGATGAACACCAGATGGTGCAGACACTGATGCTTTGTTGTGCTGGGATGGTCAGGGACAACCATGAGGCTCTCCACCATGCTGCTTTCTGGCCAAAGAGGGGCAGAGCCCAGGAAAGGGGAATCGTTATCACAAGACCTAGGAAGGGGCAGCAGATGGGCAGCGCATCTCTTGCACCGAACAAGGAAGACAGTGTCTTGGTCCTGGTCAGAGAGTATAAATGTCCATACTGCGTGTGGCCCTGTAAGGGAGATGGTGCACGGGGCTGCCAGACTCAAGGACTCCAGCCTGTCTGCAGCTTGCTGCCAAGGGCACAAAACAGCTGAGTCTGACTTGACTGCCTGTGATCAGCATTCATGAGCATTTTTACTGGATTTCTTG